TTTGAATTTTTTGCCTCTTTTTCCAAGAGTTTATTTTTCTTTGTTTTTTTCCTGCTCTACTTTGACCTCTACATAATGATAAACGTGAAGTTGATGTTATTATATGTAGTTGATGCTTCTTTTTTAAATTCTACATCCTTTATTTATGATGCTTTTGATTAACTATAGCAAGCTAGGAGATAGAAATAGTGTCTACTCTGTACTGGCACTTTTAACCGGAATCCGTGAGCCTCCTTTCCATTTTCATCTATTTGTTTGTGAAAACACTAGCTAGTTATTTGTGTTCTTTCAACTTATTAGTTGAGAACAGAACTGTATCTTTTCATTGTCACCATCCAGTATCTTTTAAATGTATGCGAGAAAGGGACACCGAGCACGCTTAGTCCGCTTAGTGTCAGCAACCCATCATCAATTGGTTGAGAACAGGATCTGTTTTCAGCATACCTATGCTTCATTTACCGCCGTGATTTGTCTACATGCTCTCAAGGTGGCGACCTCTTCTTGTTGTCAGATCCTTCGATTGAATAGGCATCGAACCAGCTGCCGTACCTTCAAGGTATTTATATCCGATCTTAAAAACACTGTTCTCATTCCCAGTTCCTTCGGACGAATTAGGCTTTCTTTCGTGCCTCAGCTTTGGGCAAGAGGTAACGGTCTGCTTATCATCCTCAAGGGCACTGCCCGGACGTAGCTTGTCGTCGGTATCAATTTCGCTTCGGTGCTCGAGGAGTCCAACTAATAGATCAGTCTTCTGCGCGTTCACAAGTCCTGTAGCAGTGACCCATTCCGTCCGAGTCTCACGCAAGCTTGTCTCGAGCTCTTGGTACCGTATCTGAATGCCGAGTCGCCGGGCGGGGTCACCAAACAGAGCATCCGTGGCAAAATAGTTCGTGTGCTGACTTCCGTCCTGAACCAGGTGACACTGAAGGAAAACCGCAAGCGGGTCAGCTGCCGCAGGTATTTTCACATCCAACTTGAATGGCAGGTGGATACGCATTCGATCTCGTCGTGCGCCGCTAATCTGAAATGTTTCACCCTGGAGCAGCGTTTGGCGCCAGTCTTGCAGCTTACGCCTTGCTTGAGGGACTACGTTCCCACGCGTCGGCGAATTGCCGTCACTGAGAGCGCTTGAATGATGGCTCGCGTAGACAGTTTGGAGAGTCGTGGGCTTCATCAATTTCGCTGGGTCTGTCGATGCAGTTGCATGTTTGCGGCGTCTTGGTTTGATCACCACCCCGTATTTCTTGCGAACACTATGGAGCTTGACCCGGAGAGCGTTCTCCATGTTTGATATCTTTTTATCCCGCTCGTTTTCATCAAGAGCCTCGTTAATATTTTGAAGTCGTAGGGTGAAAAGTGCTTCTGCAACGGCCATCTCACGTTCCATCGACAACAGTTGATGGGGGGACAATTGTGCAAAGGGACTGCTCCAATCTGCATACTCCTTCCCCTTTTCAATCGTTTGCGTCAGCCATTGAAGTGCTTGCATTATTTCTTCGGGGGAGAATGAGCTTGACGTCACTGATTCCGAGTTCTCTGTCGCTTGGCGTTGGCTGGATTGTTGTCTGCTTTGATCAGAGATGGGAGCACTACTTGGTGCTTCAGTAGACCCAGAATCGTGATCATCGAGGCAACGACCAGCCAATTTTTGTGTCCGAATCCGGCTTTTATGACTAATTTTAGCACTGATCTTGTCTTGTATAGTGTTGGCAAGCGATAAGCCTCGTTGTAGAATCGAATTCGGATCCTCCCCTAAATAGCTTGCCGCCCACTCGAGGAACGGAGCAGAATAGCAGCTAATTTTCAAGTGCTTCCCCGAGTTCGTTTCTTGTTTCCTATGAGCATGCAATTCTGCTAGTGGTGCTCCCTTCAGGCCATGCTCAAAGCCATTAGGTGTCCAACGAGTATAGTGGCAGATGGATCCTTTTCTGAGAAAGTAGTCAACTGTGTACTTCTTGCCGAGTAACCAGAGAATCATGTTGAGCCCAGCGTCGAGGCGCATAGTGATCTCGCGGATGAGTGCCGGTTTCGCATAAAATATAGCTGCTGGATGATCAATGATGAGTGTGATTCTTTTCAGACATGACCTTCCGTATCGAATGTATCGAATTCTAGGCAAAATTTGATTTTCCCATCAGGCGGACTGATGATAACTTCTACAAACTTGGCCGATTTGTCGAGGAATTTGGTGTAGGAATTGGCTGGACAAACACCCGCAACAATAAGAAACGGCAGCGGCAGGATTTTGGCAACATCTGCAGAGAATTCATCATGAAGTCTTTTCAGTTCTTTCGACCAGCGCGTTGTCGTATATTGTGGTTTGCGGCGATCATCTGAGCATTCGGCACGCCAGTGCCAATCGTAACCAAAGAGTGCTTCATCGTCTAGGCCTTTACCATGAAGAAGCTGGATGGTAGGCGATTCGGGGTCCCAAAATGCAACATGCTGCCTATCATGGCTCGCAACATGGAGAATCAGTCCGAGATCCGAATTCTCACGTCCTGAGGCTATAGTGAGGCGTGTGCGATCTTGGTTCGAAAGGCTTGTCTCTGCGGCATAGAAGGCTTCAAGTTTATTAGCTAGAATGGAAGCGAAGTCTTCTTTCTCGGTAATGACTGGGCGATCTTGGTTATTAAAGAATTCAACAAGCAAGGCAAGTTCATGCTGTCCCAATTGGGTGGCGGCTGCCTCCGCAAAACGCAGAGCAATAGCTTCGCCTGAGAGAAGTGTTGCGATAGTTTGATGCCGGTCGTATTCAATATCGGCAGGCATGTTGACATCGGGTGTCGAATACTGGGTAGGATTCAATTACCTCATTTTAACAAGGCGATGCTTGAGCATAGCATCAAAACAATCCGAAGCCTGCATGATTCAAGTATTCTCAGTATTTCGTGACAGACGATCGTGTGTAGGGTTAATTAATTGGCACATGCTCATCCTCAACAGCTCTGTCGCAGTACTGGATGTACTCAAGAACGTCTGATTACCGGTGTCGCGTCTTTGGCTTGTCTTGTGGTAGGGGAAACCAAGGGGTGATATGCAAATAAGCTGTGTTGAAAGTGATGATGATGAGAGAAGGTGCCAGAGGGGTCAAGACAGATTTGAAGCTAGTAGTTGGTATAGTGAAGCATGCGGACCGAATCGGTTTGGAGGTATAAGCCTGTGGACCCGTATGATACGGGCATGGCCGGGTACTACTGTACTGTCAAGGACTCCGATAAAAGTGATCTCTAACAATTACTCGGTCAGTTAGCTCAGTTGGTTAGAGCGTCGTACGTTGTCCTCGACATTCCTCTGCTGAATTAACAATGAAGACTAACATGTCACAGGTACTAATAATGCGAAGGTCATGAGTTCGACCCTCATACCGACCAGAAACTCTTTTTTTAGCTTTATAAACTAAAAAAAGTATATTTTTAATAATTAAATTAAATATAAAAATGTTATTAAACTTATTTAAATTATTAATATATATAACTATATAACTAATAAATAATAAAACTTTTTATTTAAAAATAATAATTATTTATTGTTATATTTCACACAAAAAAGAAGGCAAGGCTCCTACAACAGTGTATATTGTACGGAATCTACAGATGAAGAACTAAAGGGAAAGAATTTGCAAGGTTTGCAAATTCTGTGAGCTATGTGTGTGCGGGATCCTTGTGGCTGTGGTGGCTAGTGCGTGTGGCTAGTGGCAGTCCACAAGGTCTGCAAAGGTCAGTGATTGCGGGTGCAGTGGCTAGTGTGGGGCACAGCCACCAGCCAAGCCACCAACCCGTAACTTTTATTAACATAAGATGATAAAGGGTTGCTTGTGATCGTGTTTATTATGGTAGTATTTGTGTATGTGTAAGTGTAAGTGGTGGTGGTGGCTAAAGGCCACTGCCACTGGCCACCCACTCAAGGTGGGCTCCGGCCCACTAGCCACTGCCCTTGTGGCCCACTAGCCACGCAGTAGCTAGTGACCCCCTACAGGTCCGTATTAAGTGCCGCGCATACAATAAATATCTATTGTCCTCAATAGCCCTAGCCACCCACTAAATCCACTAATTGGTCTGTACAGGTGTAAGAAGGTCTGTACAGGTTGTACAAGTGTAGGTGTAGGTAGGTATAGGTCGGTCTGTATGTGTTAGCAGGTCTGTTCGTACGGGTAGGTCGTTGTTGGAAGGGCAAAAACGGCGACGATGTAGTCGTAACGAACAACCAGTTAAGGCGTCGTACTGCTTGCTGTTGCAAGGCTTATACAGTTTAAAATCCCGAACGGCTCACTCAAAGCGTACAAGACCTGCCTTCTTACACAGCTGCTGTATAGCGTACTTAACGCGGCGTACCACGTATGCTTTTCGGCTATACAAACAGCGCTAGGTCGGTCAAATAAGAGATTCGAATGGATGTTTAGTTATAGTCGATGGCGACAGCGTGGTTGTCATGCTTCTGCGTGTACTGCCAGAACACAACAAAGTCTTTCTCGACCACGAGAATCGATCGTAGGAACAACTTGGTTCGAAGGGGGGCAAACGGCTCGGATTGCAACTACCGCGTAGTCTGGTCTATACGGGTACCTGAATTCGCCGTACGACTACATCGTAGTAGTTATCATAGTCCCAGTCGTCTGCTGAAGTGGAGGCACCACTTAACACGAGATAACAAGGGGTTGCCTGTGATTGTGTCTATTGTGGTATATTTATATATGTATAAGTGTAAGTGGTGGTGGTAGCTAAAGGCTACTGCCACTGGCCACCCACTTGGGCTCCAGCCCACTAGCCACGCAGTGGCTAGTGACCCCCTACAGGTCTATATCATTTATTTATTTTTAAAAAAGGAAAAAAAAAAGTATTTTATACAGGAATTCTAGTAAGGAAATACATGGATTATGGGTTGTGCACTAACCACCTCGTACAGGGCTAATGCTAGGTACGTACCTAATCAGCATGGGTGGCTAGCCACGCCATAACATTATATAGAGCAATATGGGGATGTCTGCTCAACAATCAACCGGTCAGTTAGCTCAGTTGGTTAGAGCGTCGTACGTTGTTGCCCTTAACATTCCTTTGCTAAATTGACAACAAAGACTAACATGCTATATAGGTACTAATAATGCGAAGGTCATGAGTTCGACCCTCATACCGACCACATTTGTCTTTTTGTAATTTTTATGGCAAGACTATCTACAACAACTTGATAGTTCTAGCTGTGGTCCCCTTGTTGTTGCATCAGCTATTAAGCGGATGCTTAATAAAGAAGTTTTCAACACTAGAGGCATTGAGTCAGAGAGTGCACTACAGATGAGGAAAAAAGCATTAAGTATCATCAAAGAGGCGTAGGAAAAGGGGTTCATAGTCCCAGTCAAGCCTATAGCAAAAGGAAGATGGAGATAGATATAGAGAAGCCACAGAAACGATCTAGACAGACTTGATTCTACATAATATAACTAACTATTCTGAAATACCGACAAACTGAGTGTCCTTCAAATTGAAAGCCTATAGATCCGACACAAGAAGACCAAGGGTGTGCTTTCGAGACTTAGAGACAGGAAAACAAAATAGTAGATACGGTGATCGATAAGGCGAACCAGGCCTGTTGAAACAAGACACTTTGCCCCAAGCCCTTTGATTCTGTGGGTGCTGGCTGTATCGGTGTATTAGTTCGAGTAGGAGCCGAGCTTGCTCTTGAACTGGTAATCGTCGTAGGCGTTGGGCGAAGCGGGCTGCTAGACTTATGAATCCAATCTGGGCCGCTGGATGGGCGTAGCGATGTGCTGGTCTTGCAAGATACCATGCTGCTCCAGCCAGAGCCAGACGGAGCACCAGCCAGAGCCAGACGGAGCCCCAGATGCTGGGTAAGGCAGCGAGTCCCCGAAAGATCTGATTGTGGACCGTGCAGCTGACGAACTCGAGAAAGTTGAGCCAGTCAACTGCAGGCCGTTTCTGCTCGTTGAAGAGCAAAGCTGTCGTGTGACTGTAACAAGCATCACTTGGGACACCTGCTGGGTGACTGACTGTTTTCCTGGAACTTATTTAGCTCCAGGTGTGGTGCATGGGGAGTTGACAGTAACTGTATAAGTTCGAGTGGTAGTTGACAGGGAAGCCGAAAGAAGGGTAGTCGAAACGGCGGGGGCCGACAAAATGGAGGTGGAAACGGCGGAGCTAGTCAGATAACCGTAGCCATCATCAGTGTTCGTGATTGTTCCGATCTCGAGGCCAATGCCAGCAGATCCCGTAAGAGCAATGTCTGAACCTGCCACGCCAGCAATCAAGAGAGCGGGAAGAATAGCCAGCATATCTTCTTCGCGTTGGGATAAAAAAAAAAGGTGGGTTAAAGTGATTGTAGTGCAAGGAAGTCTTAGCATCACGTTTTGGGGAAAGATAGCAGGTTTTCTGTATAAATATTCTTGTAGTATTATATATTCGGCCTCGACCCCAAGATCAGAGGCGTCTACCGGCATTTCGAGACTTGATGTACGGAAACGGCCCGGGGTCCAAAATTAGATCTAGGTACGGAATCAGCCTACAGTAACGTACTAAGGTAGCATTCGCCACACTCGAAGTCAGCAGATAAAATAAATATAGGAATAGAAAAACAACATACAACATGATATCTCATCTTGACTATTTTTTTCGACCAATAAACCCTCTTTTCGATTGCAGACCATAATGCCTTTCGTCTTCCTCCAAGCGTCGAACAGAAGTGCTGCACCGCAGCCAGGTAGCAGATGGCGACCGGAGGAGGACGAGAAGCTCATTAATCTTCTTGCAAGGGGGGAAGACTGGACGACTATCAGCAATGCGCCCCCAGGAAGAAGCAAAACGAGTTGCATAATGCATCATCACCAAAGTTTGGCGAACCGAATGCGGCTCGGATCTGAAGGCGTTGTTCAGGCTTACATTCGGTAGGCATGCCCATTGGACAAGATTTACTGACCCCCACAAGACCGCTAACGAAAAGGGAGTTGGGCACCGAGCGCAGATATGGGATAAGATTGGGAAGGAATTGTCCGTGTCGAGCGACGAGGCCGAAACGGTGTTTCTGTACTTGTGTCGGGAATGTCCTAAAGTCTTGAAAATACTTAAATTCATGCCAATCGCGGCCCCCCAATCGCAGCGATGCCTGCGGGGAAGTTATGACTGACTAAGCGGACCCCTATCCGAACAATGAACTGGCGCGAAGCTCAGAATGGTACTGGGCCTCCAGTAGTATTCGGGTTTTCAAACCCAAACCGGTTCGATTATCGTACCAGTCCCCAGGTTCCCCTTGTACTGGTCAGCGTTGTGCCATTCTGTGAGTTCAAACTGTACCAATCCTGTCAAGATCAGTACGTATTTTGGGTTAAGACTGGTATGATATCGGGACTGGGTCGCCTCCGTACTGGTCCATAGTTGGGATGGTCCCAACTCCACAGCTATACTGGTCTGATTATCGTACCGGTCCCAGCGGAATCTCTCCGTACTGGTCCTAGTCTGGTGCTATTCTGTACCTTGAAATCGTACTGGCCTTGAACGTACTAGTACAATATCATACTATGTACCAGTCTATCTTCTATACTGGTCCCATTCTCGCGGGGTCCAAATGTTGGCGGGGCAGACGCAATTACCTTAGGTCATTTTTCTCTACTGTATTGCTTTGAGATCAGAATTGGGAACTCGTGAGGGATAAATGCTAAGAATCAAACGAAGGCATTATTAAAAAATTATGACGGTTGTAACCCGATGTAAAACAACGCAGAACTCACTACACATCTTACTTGCCTTTTATTACCCACATAAAAGAAAAGCAAGGTTATCTAAATAGTGTAGCCGTAATTAAATATATTAAAAATTAAACTTCTTTTTATAAAAGTAAAAAAGCGTTAAAAACAATTGTAAAAAACCAAAAAAAAAATTTGCATCTAGTTTAAAAAATTGTAAAAAGATAAATATGGTCGGTATGAGGGTCGAACTCATGACCTTCGCATTATTAGTACCTGTGGCATGTTAGTGGATATTTTTTTTAACGGGATAAGAACAACATACGACGCTCTAACCAACTGAGCTAACTGACCAGTCGATTGTTGAATAGATGTCTCCTTACTGCTATATATAATGTACCGTTCTGCTGACTTACAACTATGTACTATTTAGCTATCAGCTTCCTTCCGATTTCCCTCACAGCCAGTTCTGTTGTGGGTATTGCTCGCGCAAACGCTGTGTGGGACATGCTCTTAATGGCCGGCCGAGTGTGCCTACATTGGTTACCTCCTTGGCCATCGTCTAAGCTAAATATTTGCTGTCAGCCTATAAAGGCTTATGATAAACGACTTCCTGGGAAGCCATCCGCCATACGCTTCGATATGATGCCAAACAGCCTCCTTAGCCACCTCCTTAAGGCTAGGTCGGGTGCTAGAAGCCCAAAGCTCGCCTATTAAATGTCCAGGATACACGACTTCTTAAAAAGTCATCCGTTATATGCCTCAATAGAATATACAATACCCCTTTAAGCTAACTCCCTTAAGGCCAAGTGAAATATTAAAAGCCTATAGCTCGCTTATTAAACATTCAAGATAAACGACTTCTTAAGAAGTCATCCGTCATACGCCTCGATCGGGTGCATAATACCCTCTCGGGCCAGCTTCCTCGAGGCCAAGTCAAATACTAAAAGCCCATCGCCTGCCTATTATAGGTAAATCGACTTCCTAGGAAGTCGTCCGTTATATGTACCCTTCTAGCTCAGCTTCCTTGTGGCCATGTCAAATGCTGAAAGCTGGATGGTTGCAACCAACAGAAGAGAGGCCTCCCCTTTCTATCATCATCGCCATCAAAATCTTCTTCGAGAATAAATACTCGAAAGCTCCCTATCTGACAATATCCTGGATTTCCTACCCAAGCACCGCTTCTAGATGATCCACCCCTGAAGCTTCCAATTTCACCACCTATCCGCAACCATGCTTCAGACTGTCTGCCACACTACTGCCGAGTCTCATGATACTTTGGGGGAGTTGGCTAAGGTGATAGCAAGGTCGAATCGAGTTATCGCTATCACAGGTGCTGGTATCAGTACTAGTGCCGGTATCCCAGTAAGAATAAAGACCCCTTGAGTTTCGGTGATGCTCACAGGACTAGGATTTCGAATCATTGAACTTAAATCGGCCCGGTGTCAAGACTCGAGATCTCTTTCAGCAAACGGCTCTTTCCCATCCATCAGACGGGCCTGCACTGATCAAACTCTGCCTTGAACTATTTGAGCATGCAGAGATTAGTCAGCCAAGCCTACCGCATCGATTCCTTATGGATCTATTGAAAAGTGGCCAACTCGTCAGAAAATATACGCAGAATATCGATTGCCTCGAAGAGCAAGCAGGTCTTTGCATAGACGTAAGCAAAGGGCCAGGTGTTTTCATTTCCGACCCTACCTCCGACACAACAGCGCCACTTCAACCATCTCTGCCTCGAGGCGTTGAATGTGTGCAATTGCATGGATCGATTCGTTTGCTTCGGTGCTTAAAATGTAGACAGCAATGCAGTTGGTCCCAGTTGCGGAGCTCAGCGGCACATGGGCAACTTCCAACTTCCTCCCTGTCCAGCTTGTCCTACCACAAGCAGAAGGGGCCGTACACTACAGCCAGGACTTCTCCGACCAGGCATCCTCCTATACAACGAGCTAGACCTGCGGGCCCAGACGATCGCAGAGATAATTCAACATAATTTGTCCCTTGATGTCGACTTGCTTTTGATCCTTGGGACGAGTCTTATAGTACATGGCATCCGGAAACTCACTAGAAAATTCGCGAAACTTGCTCACAAGAATGATGGCCTTGTGTTGTATATCAACCAGAAAGGGCCGCCTAGAAAGCACTGGGATGGGGTGGTTGACTACTGGGTTGAGTGGAAATGCGATGCGTGGGTTAATGATTTGACAACCCGAGACCGCTGGCTGTCAACTGCGGGATGTTTGAAGTCAGCGACTATTGATGATGAAGTCCTGCGCTTAGAGCGTAAACGTCTTGCTGCTGAACCTGATCATATTGCCAGACACGTTAGAAGGCGTTGCAAGTCTGCAGGGGACGGGCGGCGAAGGAAAGCGTTGGTTGGGACACGTGATTTTCCGATTGATCTGACGGGCTGTACCTCTTGAAGGCAGAAACTTAGAAGGAATCTATT